GCTATCCTAATGGCAAGTTTTAGCAGGAATCAGTCTGTCGTCAGTTCCGTGAATTCAGTCAGGTCAATGAATTTGACCCTATTAAAATGAAACATTTTTCCATTGTGCCGGAGTTTAGCATTTTCATGCAGCCGGCCATACTGTTCTGTTATGTGTAACGCTGATACCCGACTGTCTCTTACTCTCTAACTATCCTGGCAAAGGGAGAGTTAAGTGGATTATAGTGCATGGAAAAGTGTAGGAAGGATACCCACAAACTCAGACAGGAGAGGAGATAGGTAGTTTGTTCTTTCCTTGCACTGTGCGCAGCTGTTTTCATCTGTGTCAGAACTTAACCAGCAGTTTCACCAGTATGCCTCTCAGCTACTCTTGTGCCTTAAGAAATTGGTCTAGAAATTGTCTAAGCATTTCAAAATCTGAGTACAACATTTGAAAGGATGAAACATTGAACAATTTGAAGTTGAAACTTCATTTAAAAAAAATCTGCTGAATTTGTCAAGCAGTAAGTTGACTAGCAAATGTTATTTTACATAGGAATGTTGTAAATTAATGAAACAGTATCAAGATTTTTCCAGTTAAAAAGTTGGTCCTGTGTCAAACATTTAACATTACATCTGCTGTCTCTTACCTAATACAGCCATTGCTTCTCTGACAAAATACGTCATAATAAATTTATGACAATGCTGCCAATGTTCAGGAAAAGCTATTCAGAAGAATCAGAAATTCTCAGTGCATTTGGGAATTGAATTGAGCATCTCTCATCTTCCCAAATTTTTATTCCTGTGATTATGAGCAGGAAGGAACTAAAAAATGCGGCCTTCCTGTTTTGCTGCACGTTGTGGGTTATGCTGCAGGAGAGACACCGCTCTGTCTCTGGTAGTTGATTCTTGCAGACTTGGGTTGTCAATGCAATACTGACAGGAAGGCAACAGTCATGACTGCAACCCTCGCCATTTGGACATTAAATTTGCTGTGAAGTTACAGTAGTATAAAAGATGCCACATGGTCTGAAAAGTACACTTGAAAACTGTGAACTGCATTCGTAGTAAGCCCACCAGTGCACTTAACAAAAGGACTTTTTTTTTTATCACTAATTTTTGGGGGATTCCTTATAGTTAAAACTTGACTTGCCTGAGCACAGGGCCTCAGTCTTCATTAATGTGACTTGTGCATTGGTGTGTATTTTGCATGCAAATTTAAAATTGTCCTTTATTTCTGAAAAGTATTCTTTTCAGGTCACAATGTAGACACTTCTGCTATGTTTGCAAGACTAAAATTTTTACTATCCAGTGGTGTTGAAGCTAAATTACCTGATAAAGGTAATTATGAAAAGGCTGGTTGCCTAAGGGAGAGATACCTTGAACTGACAAACATCTTTGAGAATGTTTGTCTGTGATACCAATGATTTTTAAAACTTTATTACTTCATTGTTTTTATATTTTTGACAGTGGTTGCTGTTAGGAGTTGTGCAACCCAGTAGTGTGATGGAGGCAAGGCTGCTGCAGCTCCATGTCCCTGGGTCCAGCCAGTAGCAAAGCTGAGCATTTATTCCCAGCGGGCGCACATGCCCACAGTGCCTACATACATGGCTGGCTGCAGAGATCAATGCAGAGAAAACAGCGCTTGCACAATCACAAACAACACAAGTGGCCCGATTCTGTTCCCTTCTCTGGCTGATCAGGGTGAAAGGCTTTTAGTGAAAAATATATTAATGTATACAGTGTGGATCCCTCCAGTAACTGGCCTTAGACACTCAGTCTATCCAGGAACTGGCTCCTGATCCTCTGGTTTCCCCTGTTGCCGGCCTGGGCATGCAAACCCACAAGGCTTGCAGCCCCACTTCAGTTGCTGGTACTCGGACCCTCTTGGACATGCACACACGTGCACAGATGATACACTGTGGATCCTTCCAGTTATTGGCCTTAGCCTTGTGGCAGCTGACCAGGGGATTGCCTCATGCAAATGGATCTTTCGAATAGCTGGTACAGACCTATGGCCTTAACATTAGCCAACCCTCAAACCCCAGGGCCTCTCTGATGGCTGGCTTAGACCTTCTGGTCCTTCCAGTAGCCATCCCTCAGACCCTAGTCTCTTGTGGCTAGGTTGAGAGAGAGGTTCTTTCAGTAGCTCAGACCCTCTGATCTCTGCAGAGTCTCGCCCAGCCTTACAGCCTGTCTGATACCTGGCTCCCAAGCCTCTTGCTCTACTTGTGGGCTAGCCTGGCTTGATACTTGTTAGTGATTATGTGCACCAGCATGCACACCCACATGCTGTGTGCACACACGTCTCTCCAGCTTCTGACATTGCAGGCTCATGGACCCCTGTGATCTGTGGCCACCTTTTCATTTGCTGGTACTTTGACTTCAGTGCACACACATGCACACAGAATGGAGCCCCCCATCACCCAGGAAAACAGAAATTGAGTTTAATGAGTCTGGTGATCAGGCACGCGACATGGCCAATCATACTGACTGTCAATCTCTTTACATGTGACTGGACCCTTTTCTCTCTGGTTTTGCATTCTCATTCCTCCCCAGTCCACCTTGATCCCACAGTGAGCCCCACACCGCTGCAGGCAGTAACCCCTGTAGGCAGTTGGTAAGGTGGTCTGGAGAGCCTCTCCTGTTGTCTCATCTGGTGGATCTTCTGCCTGGCCCATGGGCTGACTGCTCTCCTGCAGTGGGGCTGGGTCAGAGTGCTCCATGTGCCTGGGTTAGATTGCTGGGTTTCCTTCACCTGACATTATTTTCTGCTTTCTGTTTGCGGAGACTGGCCTTTAATCATGTAACCTATAATAGATGTGAGCAAAATATCCCTCCCTAATGCTGAAGGTGACTATTCCTGTCTGACTAGTAACCTCACTCAGGTAATAATGACTGTGCCTGTTTGATGAACAGATATAATGCATCTCCCTAGCTTTGTAAAGCACTTGTGGCACTTATTTGTAGTCTAAGCTTTCCTCAAGTTTTATTTCAAGTAAAAAAAAAATATTCATGAGTGGCATTTTGAATGATCTTATTGTGAATAACAAGAAGAAAATGCTGTCCAGTGATTCCAGTCTATTAATGCTTTGTATGCAAAAGCTTTATGGAATATGGTAGCATATGGTCAGTTGAGAGAGACTTCTGTTGGCAGGAAAAAAGTCTTAGTCTAACATTAGGTAAATTATAAACATATGTATCCTAGTAACATTTTTGCTTCAAACATTAAGTTTATGAATCAAATCCAAGGCTGACAACCTTGTCATCATGCTAAGTGGGATATTGGAAAGGCCTAATGTGTCAGAGAAATGGCTTAGGCATTAATTCAAGTTTGCCTCTTGCCTTGGTAGTCTGGATAGGTAGTAGCTCAAGGCAGCTAAGAAAATGCAGCTCTTGACAGCTGGAAGAGGAATCTCCTGTAATAATAATAATCTTCCAAACCAGAAAACTGTTTTTGAAAGACAGTCTATTAATTTATCCTAAAAGTAATGAAAGACAGTTACTTCAAAAAGGTACACAGTGGAGACCGTAAAGATTGTTCTTCAGATAAGCACAAGGTCTTAATATGCCTTGAAGTTTTTAAGGAACTTCAAAAGCCACAAAGATTAATGTAAGAAAGAATCTGGCAGAGAAAACATGTGGTTTTATACCATTTGCCTTCTCCAGAGGAGTGCAGATATCCCAGTCACAATCTACATTATCCTTTCTTGTACCTGGATATTTATTTGTGGAGACCATTCTTAAGTCATGAGATAGAATTACTTGACTAATTCTTGCAAACACATGTATCTACAGGATACAAGGATTTCCTGTGATCTCTACCAAAGAACTGCTCCACCCCCCCAACGCTTAATGAGGCTTTGTGAAACAGTGTGTTTATCAGGTCATTTTTCTCGAGTGTTGAATAAAGAAGAAATTATACAGCTTGCCATTTTGGATACTACATTAATCTCTTAAATCTGGTATTCACAAAACATTGGCCTTTACAGATGCCAGGTAACCCTACTAAGATGATGCTGATTAATTTCAAACTTGCAAAGCCAACTTGCAGTAGAGTTCTGAGCTGTAGTCCTTAAATACCTTTTCATCATCAAGCTTTTGTGTGGGTTTTCTTGCACGTCTTTCATTCACAGATACCAACTTTCAAAGGAGGAAAAACGCTGTTGCCGTTGTGTCGCCAGGGCAGGAAGAGGGAGCAGAGGAGGCCACTCAAGAGCATACCCCTTGCTTTGCACTATTCTACTTGCTCATTGAAGATTTTAAATCTTGATGTTGATTTCCTCACCAGAACCTTTGAAAATACGCTTCTATTACTCTTTTTAAATATTTCCTATATTACTGTTGCATAAAATGTAGTGGTGGACTAGTAAAACCTGCTTTTTTAGTTGTTGGTGTAGCACAAGTCAATAAATTATTAGTCTTGTCGTTAGTATGGAGAAGGAAAACTTGCCAGATGTGGTGATTATTTCTGTATTGCATGAACCTTTTGTTATGAAACAATGGAATTCGTTGGTGCTGCAAAGCCCTGTTTTTTGTTAAAAATCAGCTTTGCAGGTTTGTACAGAATAGAGTCATGGATGAATAGGGATTGTGTTTAAATGGACAATGTAACTTTGAAAATGGAATATTCTACTTGCTCCTCTGCTTGAAGTAGACAAAGGTATGGCAAAGGTGAAGGAGTTCTTTCCAGCAGTAAGCGTTGCCATTCACTCTATTACCTATGGACTTACAGTAAGCCAGGAACATAGAATGACCCTCAAAAATCCCTCTGTTTTTTTCCCTCTGAAAATATATGGAGAGGAAAGGCTAAGGGATGGGGACCATTCTTCCTTAAAAGAATCCTCCTGGTTGGCACCTAATACCTCTTCTTTTGTATTATGCAAGTTCCATTACATAGCCAGTCTTCTGCCAGGTAATTAACTATTCAAGTTATGTTTGAGCTAGAAAATTATCCATTTAACTTTCCCATAAAATCAGTAATATTTATATAGGTTATTTTTGTCTTATCCTGTTAGGTGTAAGGATTTGTCTGTATCTTTCTGGAATTCCTATTGGATGCTGCCCTCTGATGTTTGTGGAATGAACTGCTTTTGGGAAGCTGCTTTTAGGTAGGATCTATTATTAAATAGTACTTTATTATTTGATTGCAGATAGGTGTAGCTGATAAGTATTTTTGGCTATTTAGCAAGGTGACAAAGCAAAATACTCTGATTGCTTCACATGCATTTCACCTGCTTATATTATGGTTGTCTTTAGCTGGGCTTTCTCCTGTTCTGTTATGTTTTTAAAATCGTAGACTCAAGTGTTATTACAAAGAGTAGATTTTTTCAGTTATGTTGCTTCATTAAATACAGAATTGCTAACATTGGTAAAAAGTCTATTTGAATATAGTCGGAAAAGTTACTGATGAATTAATTATTTTTGATAAATAAAACTTGCTGCACAGTAATACCCATGATGTAACTTGCAATAAAAACTGGCAGATATGCTTAGTAGTTAAGTTCGGAGTTTTTTTATTCAAGTTACATGTTTTATAGAATTTGAGGAGGGTACTGCATCCAAAAGCACTGAAACAACCATTTTAGAATGTGCTTTAAGATACAGTATGTTAAAGCACAGACTGTGTCCTTAAAGTTGCATCTTTAACAATAAGTTTAAATGTTTTGCTGTGGTTGTTCAGATGCTTTAGGCTATCAGATTACAGAAGTAGCTTGAAAAGAAATGGAAGAAGCCTTAAGCTACTTGACAGGTGTTCTCTAACCTGCATAGTTCTCTTCAGTATATAACTAATGTTGTAAGTCAATTTTTCTTATATTTAAAATTTTACTGACCATCCTTTAATATGGTTATCTCTTCCTCTTAGTCTGAAGCTTGAATATTTCTAGGGAAGCAAAGGAAAAAAAAAGTTTTGCTTCACAAGACTTAATGTACTTTTGAAAATTATGATTGTGGGTACGATGTTATATCTGTCCCCTCTTTCTCTCTCCTTGTGTGCTGTCAGTGCTTTTTAAGCTCATCAGTTGCCAAGAAGTTACTTAAAGAGATGGCTTAGATTGATTTTTAGTCTGTTAGTGAACTGCACCTGTAATTTGGGACTGCTGAGTCTTTCTCGCTGCCCTTGGTAGCCAGTGTGTCAGTCCACAGGGATTCATCTGACTTTCCCTTTGGCAGATTTAGCTGTCTGAATGGACTCAATTAACTTTTTTTTTTTTTTTTTTTTTTTTTTTTTTTTTTTTTTTTTTTTTTTTTTTTTTTTTTTTTTTTTCCTCCTTAGAGGTTAGCTTTTGGGAGTTTAGCTTTATGAAGTTTAGCACAGGGGGGTAAACCAAATGTCAGTGCTGTTGTGGTGGAGGGCGTAGGGGCTTAACCTACGCTTAGTGGAGGGACAGGATGTGATTGTAAGCTTCATTCATCCGTGAACATCTGAGCCAGTCTAACGGTTGCGTAGTGCTGAGAGAGGAGAGGGTCTCGCTGTCTTCTGATCCCATTGACCGTGATGATAGCCATGAACTCTCCACAATACAATGTAATGCACTAAAATAGCACAAAACTTCCTTTCTGGATTTTCTGCCAGGCTTAAGGCACGTAGGACCTCGGAACTAGAAGCGGAAAAACCCCACGCGGTTACTTTGCATATACCTTAAGCTGTAACTTGTATTATTCTATTAAGAATGCCGTATGTGGCTGTGAAGACAAGGCTGTTGAAGTATGCATTGATTATGACATTACTGGGCGAGTGCAGTTTCTTTCCTGGTGAAACAATTGTCATGGTGACCCCCTAATATAATATCTACATTTTGAAACTGAAAGATAAAAAGCTGTTTAAATGTGTGAAGGGGATGTGGTGTTCAGATTAACTGTTTCAGATTGAGTTTGAATGTTTTATCAATATATTATTATTAAATTAATCCCCATATGTTGTGCTGACTTTGGTGCTTGTTGAATTCCTCAATGAGATGCTCTCACTTCAGAGGGGGGGCCCCTTGCCTCCCCCAAACTTTATTTATTTCTTGCTCTGTTTAATACATTCAGTTGGTTTCAGAGAGGTGCAGAGAGTTTGTGTAAGAGAAGAGGTGGGGAAGATAGCAGAGGAGGAGGAGGAGAAAGTGCTTCCTCTTTGGATAGCAGCAAGCAATTACAGTGGCTCAGCACCTGAACCTGCTGCCTAAGCCCCGTTTCTTTGTATGTGCTGGAATGACACAGAAGATAGTTGCAGTTCGGTTTCAGCTTTGGATATGAATTATAATTTTGTTTAACTCTTAACCAAAATATGTGCATTGTACTAGGTGCACTGAGAAGCTGAAGGATTTAGACTTTGTTATCATTTTATGCTTCGAACGTGATACTTGGTAGTTGTTCTTAAGTTTGCAGTCAGGTTTTTGGAGGAAGAGCAATGAACTTAATTCCATGCAAGTTTATTAACCACAGCAAATGAAGTCTAGCATTCTTGTTTTCTGAGATTGTATGTGTAGGGCCACTTCAATATTCTTCATGAAGATAAAGCCTGCTGAAGACTTTTTCTGTAAAGAGGCAACGTTGTGGTTCTAAATTGGGTATTTTTTGAAATAGAAAGGAGTGAGAGTTCTACAATAGTATCTTATTCCAAATAATTTGATCCTGGGTTGACTAAGCCTTTGCATTCTTGTTAAGTGTAGTTGTTGTAGTGAGGTGCAGAATAAAGCTGGACTCTGAAGAGACTGGGATAGGGAGAGGGATATGAGAAAAACCTAAGAGTTACATATCTGATCAAAATCTTAGGATAGCTAGCTCCACTGCCTATAGACGGGCCAACAAAATAATGGGAATTCCAATGAGATTGCTTTTAATAGAAATGGCAGAGTCTGGTCATTGAACTGCAATAAGACTTGTCGTGAATCTTCTATTTGGCCTGATTTAATCTGTAAAAAGAGAACAACACTATTTATCCAGATCATAAATCAGTTTGTGAATGGAGATTCTGGTGTTCTGTTCTTGCTGTTTCAATAAACAAACCAAATGAGTTTGTTCTGAGGAGCAGATCATATAACCAGAATTTCTTTGCCAATAGTAGATTCATAAAATTTATCTCAATGTTAGAATGTCTCCTTTCCCTTTACCAGTGAAGTTTTTCAAACATCAGAAGGTAGTCCTTTAGCTTTTGGATTTTTAAGTCTTTTCTTTGAAAAAGCTTAGCTTGTTTTCTCTCTGTTTCTAACTTGAAATTCCAGTTGGCTTTTTTTCCTTGATATCAGAACCACAGGGATTTGTTTATCCATGAGAGAAAGAACTTGGCATAGATATTTTTGAAATGCAGCTTGCCACGTCATTTCCTCTGAGTAGCTGTAAGTGTATAATGCGTGAAGTGACAACTAATGTTCTGTGGACTTGTAAGACTCAAGTTAGTACAATAGAAGTGTTGGAGACCTGTAGAGGAATCTGGAAATTTTTTTTGGAGAGAGGTGTGTATATATAGACTCATACTATAGCTAATTCAACATCATTTGAAATCGATGAGCTCTGAGCAGTTTCTGATTCTAATAATGGATAAGGCTCTTATCTCTTTAAGTTAATCAGCGTAAGATCTATTGCCTATGCTGTATGTGGGAAGGATTTTGGAGCTATTCTGCCCCCACGTTATTTTATCACCATTCTGATTATCAACATTATTGAGACAAAATATCTTGTGTTGTGCTTTTGGTACAGAACATTTGTTAGCTTTCACATTGATAGAGGAAGCATGAGATCACTTTTGCATACAGTGGTATAGATTTTATCAAAAATTTAAAAAATGCTGATCAAGATAACATGAGGCTCAGGTTTCGCATGATCTAGATGATGTGTATATTTTCTACTACACCTTTCAAGGTGCTCAGTGTCATCTAGCTGGTATGGCTGCTTATTTCCTACTGAGACTGATGAAGAAGAAATTCTTAGGGGTCATTACTATGGCTACCTAACCTGCCTGATTTCAGTTGTTGGATGTTGCTTCTAGGTGGGTTTTAACTTGTGTTGCCTATTAAAAAAGCAACTTTCACCTCTTTTTGAGTATATTGAGGTGGTGTGGATATATTGAGGTGAATGGTGAGAGACCTGAAAAACAGGACTTCTTCTCCGAAGTAGCTAGCTTATTGGAGGATGGGGCTTTGGACTTTTACAGTCAATTTTTAAATGACTAATATATTGTAACTTCAAACCTAATCTACTAATTGAGTTTGTAATTGAATAGATGACATTTGGACATCATATGCACTGGTATCATTAGCATACTTTTGCAAAATAAGCTCTGATTATGACCTATTTTTAATTCAGCGCAGTAGTAGAAAGTTAATAAGCTGAGTAAAAACTCAAATTTTCATCACTTTCAAATCCAGATAATTTCTGTAGTTAGCTTGATCCTACTTCTAATAAGTGTGGGAATGATTTAACAGTTGCATTTTAATCAGTGTAGGCTTTGTTCCCTTCTCGCTCTGCCTATTTGCTTTTCTTTTTCTGGTGACTAAAGGCTACGGGGTTAGGCTCCTTAATGATCAATTGATTTAGATCAAACACAAAGCATTAAAAGAAAAAAGGATGTGATAAGTAAGCCATCTGTATTTTATTTATATATCTACCATTTGTTTTTCTGAGGCACGTTGTGGTGCCAGGTTTGAAATAATACAGGTTGATTATATGAGAATATTTTCCCTGGATATTGTAACAAATATAATTTGCATTTTCCATGCTAATTGTCAAAAAACTTGTATGGGTAAAATATTTGCACTGATAATGTGGTTAGCTTTTTGTACTGAAGAGGAAGATACATTTGCAGTAGGCTTCTGTTTGTTCTTTTTGTAAGTGTAAACAACTTTAGCACAGCTGAGCCTGGCAACCTTGTCCATTTGGTTATAATATCAAGGAAAGTTAGTTTAATGATGTTGTGGAAAGACTGAGAGACTTTATTAAGCAACCTTGTTTAGGAAGCTGAATATTGCATGCCTCGTGTGTTATAGACCATATGGAGAAAAGATCAAAGAAAAGCAAGGCTGTAGCTCTGTCAGAACCAGTGTAAGAAAACTTGTTTTGATGTAGAATAATTTTTGAAATTGTTTTTGTAACCTACAAAATAATTCTTACATCCTTATATTGCCAT